GCTTGCCAGGCAAGCACTTATTCTACTGAGCTATCTCCCCAGCCCCCAACTGAGCATTATTGAAGGCCTAGGCCTACCCCTTTAGCTTCACCCTCAGCCATGCCGCAGCCCTACAGAACTAATGGAAATTTCCTCAGCCTGCCAAGAGTGTTCTGTGTGCTGAGGCTTTATCTCTGCAGTTTCTTTAGCCTGAACACCCTTCCCAACTTCTCCACTGGGCGCTTTCCTACTACTCATCTTTCAAGACTCAGATGAGATGTTCCACTTCTAGGGTGCCGCCACTCCTGACCTGGTTCAAGGGCTCCTGCTTCTCTTGAATGTTGCACCTGCCTCCCGACTGAGCTACTAGTCACTAGCTTCTCTCTTCCACTCAAGGCCCCCATGGTGCAGCCACCTGCCTTTCTAAAACACAAATCTTGTCATGTCACTCTCTGCTTAAAATAACCAGTCAATGAAATAATCCATCAATCAATGCTTCAAGGGCTTCTCTTTGTCCTCAGGAAGGTATCCAAAGTCGTCAGCGGGAACTCAAGGCTTGGTCTCCTCGTCTCTCCTGACTGTCCCACACACATGGATGCTCTTGTTGTCATATTTCAGGCATCCCGTGCTCTCTTTCTGTGCTCACTCTGTTCTCTCCCTTGCCTGGTACTCTCTTCTCCACCTGAGGAACCTGTACCTTATCTTTAATAGCTCTGCTATTTGCTCTTCCAGAAAGAGCCATGGTTTTCTCTTGTTCCCGTCCCTGGGTGACTACTTGTGCATGTGTTCCTAGTCAGTGAGCCTGTCTGTGTGAGGAATCTCCTGAAAGCAGGCTGTCCTGATGCATGACTGTGTCCCCGGCAGTGTCAGCATTAGGCATAGAGCAGACATGTAGGATACCTTGGCTGGTTGAGTGGGGGGAAGAATGAATGAATGGGAAATGAAGCCATCTTTGAGTCATTACTTCTCACCTAGCCCAGAACTGCCTTTTCCTGAGGGGAGCCCAATTTATAGGCAAGGGGGAAGCAGAAGGAAGGGACTTCTGGAAGGGAGAAAGAAAATCAATAAAAATGTAAATCTGGGGGAGAAAAGCATCCCAAGCTGGCTGTAGAGAGAGATAAGACTGGGCCAGCTGAGCCTTGGCTGACAGTGGAGGAGAGATTAGGGGACAACGGGGCTGCGGCAGGGGCAAGGAAAGGCGCTGGGCCTCCCACTCTATATTTCCTGCCCCTCCCCACCCCTACTCCATGTGCTCCTTAGATTCCTTCAGGGATGGGAGAAGGGGAGGAAGTTTACAGATCCTGATCATCAGGTGCTGTTCTGGGAGCAAGCATGGTGTCTTACTGTCTGCAAACTTGTGGGAGACAGGGCAAGGCCCACTTAGCTTCACACTGAGGTGAAGAAACCGAGCGCACAGAGGAATGCAGCCATTGTGCAGGGCCGTGCTGTGAAGAAGGGGCAGCCTCGAGGTCTGCGCACTGCCTCCCTGGCTCTGGCCTTCCCCTCCATGCAGGGTTTCTGATCTGGGATGGCGGACTCTTAGGCAATGTCCCCCCTGCGCTTCAACAAGTCCTCAGTCTCTAAAATTGTTTGCAGTTGTGCACATTCGTGTAGGTGTGGTCTTTTAAATTAAAACTTTAAATGGAGAGTCTATGTCTTTAATCAGATCCCTAATGTGGTTGTCATCCAACCCCCGTTGTCACCCAACTCCTGGGTGATGCCAGTCATGGCTCTTGGCTCCTAGCTCCCGAGGGGCCTCTGTCTGCCCTGCAGCTTCCCAGCATGTGTTACAAGCAACAGGAACTCAGGCAGGGCACCAGGATGTCAGGGCTTGTCACCTTGTCCTTGCCTCTGCTAGACTTCACCACCACTAGCATCTAGCAGGGAGACTTAGTGGCACCTTCTAAACTCCCTGGGACGGGGGAGGAAGACAGCAAGCTCACAGATGGAGATTCTGTAGGCTCTTCCTTGAACAGAGGTCAGAAAATTCTTTTAATCATCCTGAAAAACAATGCATTTTTTTTTTTTAAAAAGAAAACTAACTGCAGCAAGTAATAAAAAATGTTATTTTCTTGGATTATGTGGTGTATTTCTTTTTCTGCTTCTAGGTAAGTGTTCACTTTCTCACCTAACTGTGTACAGGTTGAACATCCTTAATCAGGAAGTTAAAATCTGAAATGTTCCAAAATTTGAAACTTTGTGAGCACCAACACAGTACTATCAGTGGAAAATTCCATATCTGTTCTCATGGGCTTCTGTCAAACACAAGCACACTGAACTGTATGTGTATAAGATGCATATGGAACATAAGGGAACTTTGCATTTTGATTAAGGTCCCACCCCTAAAATATCTCATATATGCACATATTTCAAAATATGAAAAAAAAAATCCTAAACGCCAAAGTGATTTTTAGCATTTTGGATAAAGGGCACTCAACCTGTATACATAATTTTGTAGTCCTTTTCTTAAAGAAGTCTTCCTCAAATTGTATTAGCTTTCCTTCCCACAAGATCTGGACTCAACCTTGGCTCCATTACTTGCTTTCTGTGTGGTCTTAGGCGAGTCACTCATCCTTTCTGAGCTGGTTTCCTCGTCTCTAAAATGTAAAACAATTTGGAAAGGTGAAGACCTAGCCCCATGACCTCCTTCCATTTTTGAAACCATGACTCAAGGAAGTAACCCAGCCAAATGAAAATTAGCCCAGAATATAAAGTGAGGGAAGGATGCAATATACCAGAAATAATGGTGAGCAATGAACCCAGTAAAATTTAAATCTGAATAACTGGAAATAATGTGGTTGTTGCAAACCTCTAATGCAGTTTATAAGAAAGGATTTTTGTAGTAGAAGAGACATTACACAAGAATAAATTGAATAATAAGCCATAACTATAATTCCAAATTATATCTGCAAAACCTGGGCAACAGAAGGAAGGAGAAGGAATATAAACCTACTGAAACCACGTCTTGTTGGAGGCGACTTTGAAATTCTTGGTATTGACAAATACAGGCTCAGATATTTGTTAAACATTTACAGTTAAGCAGTAGAATGCATTAGGAATTAGACCTCTCTGCTCCTTCATCTTTCACACGGGAAAGCCCCAGCACTCTGGCACTGGGAACTTCCCAGAGGCCAAGAGCCATACGTGCCCTCACCCAGAAAGGCTGGGCACAGGGTGCCATCAGCTCTAGCTCAAAGGGTGGTGCCTCCCAAGGCACAGGCTCCAGGGTACAGGCGACGACGGATAGAACTGAGAGTGATTAGGAGACACCCTCCAGGACAGACAAGACTGGGAAGAAAACAAGACAAGGCCTGTCATAGCAGTGGATCAGGCAGCACCCTGGGAACCAGAGGTCATCACTAACTTGAACCTCATGGCATTGCACACTGTCTACACAGGACCTGTGCCAGGGACTTAGGCATTGGAAAAGAGAAGCGGGAACTAGATTCTATTCACAAAGGTCATAGAGTCTTTAGTGGCCCCTTGTCAGGTGTGTGAGATCTTGACAATGCAGAGATAGCAATTATGTTTCGTCTCTGAAGTTGAAAATTGCCCGTGTGTGTGGCTGGGTCTCTTCCACTCTAGGGCCTCTAAGGCAGGTGCTGGGGTTCACCCCCAAACTGTGGCTGCCTGAGCTGGGACTTCCTGAGTTCAAGAGGGAGTCTCCCCTCCCTCCATGGAGTTACTTGGCAAGGCTCTATACCAAGCTTTTACTCCAGGGTTTTGCCAGGCTGGGACGTCCTGATGGGGAACCCAGCTTCCTTTTCCTTGGTGGGGCTCCTCTTAATTTAAAGCCAGATTTGGGCACAGCCTCCAGGGGGCGCCAAAGGGACAGGTCACAGCTGAATGAACCTGCAAGCTGGTGAGTTCACTCCCACCTTGCAGAGGAGCGACCTGAGGCTCAGGGAGGGTGCGCCAGATCGAGGACAGCCTGGTCTGCTTTGGTCCATTTCTCTAACCTAGGGCCCCAGCCAAGAAAACTCGATTTGGGGTCAGCTGGCTGCTGGGGGAGGACTTGGGAAGACCCTCTAGCTTCAGAAGTGGTCAATCAATACAACCTCCTCAAGCCGTTGGTTCTGATGGGAAAATAAAGGCCCAGGGAGAGGGGTGTGCTAAGTCCCTCACAGTTTAGTGGTGGAGCCAGATGCAGAACAGTGTTCCTGACATCAGTCTTGGGCAGGGACCCTGAGCAGCTACCACTGTGCCTGCCACTCTTGGCCAGGGTGAGTACCAGTACAGCTCACACACTGGAATCCGTTGGCTTCTTGTCTTGCCCTGACATTAGCAGTTGTTGCTGTGGGCCAGGGCTGGACGCAGTTGCCTTGGTCTCTTCCTCTTTGTTCTGCTGCCTCAGGACAGTCAGAACCAAGGCGAAGCACACCAGAGAACCAGTTTTGAAGAAGAACTGGAGGCCAACAAACCTGAGGAAGAACAGGGGGCTGTGAAATGAGGACCCCAGATCCAGAGCCTGGAGGTCCTTGAGTTGGCATTGAGCATCAGTAGACACTTGTACAGGAGGACACTTGGAGTTGGGGGTCACTGACCCCTGTGGGGCTGGAAGCTGTGCAGAAGGGTCATGTTCCCCTGCTCTGTCCTTGGCTGTGATAAGGCTCGGGCTTTCTCTAAGTCTCTCTCAGAGACTCAGGGGCCTGACAGGTGCCTTGGGATGACCTCACCCCTACAAGGAACACAGCTTCTATGTTTGCTTAGCTGGCCAAGGCCCTTTGACTTTTTCTTTTCTAGGAAGTGTCCCCCCCTCCAAGCCCATGGAAACTGTGTCCTCAGAGCTGGAAGTGACCTGTTCTCTGCCCCTGGCCTGGCTAACAAGTCTTTCCCACATTCGCCCCTCACCAGCAGCCTCTACACCTTCAAATTCTTTTGAGCTGCCTGGTGTACAGATGCGTAGACTGGGCCTCAGACGGATAGGGCTTTCTCCCAGCCTCTACCGTGTCTTACAGCTGGGATGCTCCCAAATCTCCCCAGGACCTGAAGTCCACTCTGTCATCAGCGAGCTTGCAGACCAGGCCCAGCTGTGTCAGTGGTTAGTTGGGTGACTTTGGGCTCCCTACTTTAGCTTTCCTTTTCCTCATCTGAAAGAGTAGAGCTGTCTAGCTCACAGGACTGGTAAGCTCAGCCCTGGAAATGGCACTTGTTGCCAGGCAGGCACGCTCACCTGCTTCCCCACTGGTGCCCTGCCGGGGTCCTGTGGGTTCCACAGTGCCCTTCCCACAGCCCCTGCCAGGGTCTCACCGGTTTCGGAGCAGGTCAAGGTCATAGTAGTGGCAGACAGCGCGACGCCCACAGCTCAAGGCCCAGTGCACGCAGGTGGTGTCAATGGCGCTGCCGTGGATCACAGGGCTCGGCATCCAGGCTGGGGGAGGTGGTGCTCAGGGGCTAGGGAGGCTGGGAGAACCCCAGCCTCCCTGCAAGTGCTCGAGGGGTCCAGGCTACAGGCCCAGGATCTGGCCTTCAGCTAGCCCCTTACCACGTACCACAGGGAGCCTCCCTCTATCGGGTGGCATGCCTTCTATGTGCCCAGCCACTTCCAAACCCCTGCTGCCCCCATATTTATTAGCCCAAGGTCAGGCCTGTGGCCCCCAGGTCTGGTACACAGTGGGTACCTGGGCCCCCATCACCACCACCTTGGGGCTCAACCAGGCTCTTTACCCAAGACTCTCAGGAGCATGAACTGGATGCCCACGGCCAAAGTCTTGTCTTCTTTCTTCACTCCCCTAAAAGCAGGGAACAGGGACATGAGGACTGAGAGGGCCACGCAGCAGTATGGACTCTCCCCATGCCCTTCTCCCACTGTCCTTGTCCCCTCTCCCAACCTGAGGGTCCAGCCAAGGGGCTCAGGCCCTGTATTCCATCCCTTCTCAACCTGTAGAGCCCACATCCACTGGCCATCACGGTCCTGTACCACTTCCCTATGTTCCCCACCACGGACATCTCCCTTGTTTCCCTGCTCCCTGGTTCCACCAAATCCTCTTCTTCCTCCTACACTTGGCAAGGCTGGAGCAGGGACAGTCAGCTCCTGTTATAGCTTTGCCACTATTGTGACATAGTGGCATGTGCTTAAGGAGCACTTCCTATTGTCTCAGCAGCTCTACACTGTACCTCCCAGGAGGGAGGGAGAACACTCGCCCCATTTCACAGGTAAGCAGACTGATCCTAGACAGGCTCAGTGACTTTCAAGGTCCCGTGGCTCTCAGAGGCAGAGCTGGGACTCATGCTGTCCACAGTCTGTATTCTTAGCTTCCTGTGACATCTGATCCCCTTCTTTCTCTCACATGTCACCCTGTTTCATAGATTCCCATGTCTTCTAATTGTCTCAGGGGCTCCATTCCCTTTTGATTTTCTAGAAAGTAGATGCTGAATGGAATAAGCCTAGCAGATTGGAGTTATCTTGCTTGGAGGTCTTCTTATGTCTCCCTTATCCGAGGGGATCCTGACTTTGGACTTGGACTTGGGCAGCAACTTGTGAGACCCAGCAACACTTTCAGAACAGGGGCTGGGAAGATCTTGTACCAAGAAGTAGCAGCCGCATGGGCTGGGTGCTCAGTAAGCACTTATAGGTGCTGTGGCCTTGAAGGGCGTGGAGGTTGGGCCCACAGGGGTGTCATTTGCTCCCTGGATACACCTCTGTGGCTCAGCCATTGTGGGTAGGGTAGGGAGCTCCCCTCTTCCTTACTGTGTGATGGTCTCACTTGGGGATGACACTGTGTAGCCTCCCCTCCCAAGACGGCAGGGACAGGATCAAGAGCCTGAGCTCTTCCTGGAGCACTTGCTATATGACTGGGGACAGTGCCCGAACTGACTGAGCCTCTGTCTTTTTGTCTTCAAGGTGGGGAAAAGATGGCTCAGAAGGTTTCCAGGGGATGAAGTTAGGGTACGGAAGGCACCTGGCAGGTCATGGGGGGACCAGGGCACTTGTGTGTTCCTTCCTCCAACTCCCCCTTGGACTGTCCTGGCCATGGCTGAGGACCTCTTGGCATGCACCCACCCTGCCCTTGCTGTCACCTTAGGATGAGCATGAAGGCGGGAGTGTGGGTGACACTGGCCAGGGCTGCTCCCAAGCTGACCAGCAGGATGAAGGGCAGCACCAGGTGGCTGCAGGCAGAGTCGCAGGAGCCGGCAGACACAGGGCCTCCCCCAGCTACGCAGCTACAGTTGCTATAGAAAACCTAGGGAGGAGGAGAGAAGGGGAGAAGGGGTTCAGAGCCTCCAAAGAGGCAACTGCTAGGGGCCTGAGCCAGGAAAAGGCTCCCAAGGTGTCCCATGGCCCACTGCCAGCTGAAGTGGAACTGAGTGTGGGTGGCTTGGGCAGGTGCCTGGACACAGGCTGCCCTGCACACTGTGGGCTGAGCCAGGCCTCTAGCCATGGGGGAGAGAGGTACAGTGATAAGGGAGAGGGACCAGAGGAGCACCACCCCCACACGGTACATACTGATGGCAAGGGAATGTCCTCACTGTACTGGATTGTGTCCAGTCTCTGGTGGAAGGGAAAGCCTCCAGCCAAAGACTCTAAGAGGAAGCCCAGTCACCAGCACTCTCAGGCATGTGTCAGGAGCAAAGCCAAGCCAGGAGCCTGGGCTTTACTTCTCTGTCAAAGAGCTTTCTTTTTCTCACCTGTGCATTATAGCCACTGGTGCTGCCAATGGAGGCAAGGATTGGGCTTATCTGCTCGCAGGGCTTTTAGGCATGGTGGAAATGAATCCTGGTGGTCCTGGGTACATGTGCCCTGGCAGTGGCTTGGAGGATGGATTGGGTGGGGAGGCCCACAAAGAACCGCTTGTGAGTTGGGGTGGATGAGTAAAGGGATTTGGATTTGAAGTAATCCAGGTGGTAGATTAAAGGAAGAAAGGGAGAAGAGGGAGAGGGGGAGAGGAGAAGGGAAGGAGAGGAGAGGACAAGTGAAGACAGAGGAAGGAGAGGAGACACTTAAGCTTTGGCAGCTGACACTCTCTTGGTGCCCTGTGGAGCTGCTGTGTGTGTGAACCAGGCAGACACCAATCCACACTGCAGGACAAGTGGCTTTTGGGCCTTGGCTTACTGACTAAGTGACCTGCACATACAGCAGGGGGACAGGCAATAGAAAAATTCCTCAAGGTCAGGGGACTCCTGCTACTGGTCCTGGCTCAAGGGAGAGGCACTGGGATGCCACCAAGGCTGAAGACTTTCCTCTCCGGGTCTTTGGGTCGTTCGCTCACACGCATCTGATCCCCATCATGGCAAGTTCCTCCATAACTGCCTTCAGCCTCTCCAGCTGCCTCTGTGTCTCCTGCAGAGTTCTCCTCCGCCCCAGCCAGAGAGCCTGAGATCCTGCCAGCTACCACATCTGTCCCTCACTCTGTTGCTGAACACAGCTGTGCCAGGTGTGGATCAACCCTTCCTCATGAAAGGGCATTTGTAGGCAGCCCGAGGAGGCACACGTGGCAAGAGACGGTTCTGGGTCCGCCTGAGGGCCCTGGGTGCTGACCCAGTCTCAGCTGCCCCCGATCCAGATAGTGCAGCAAACTGAAGCTTCTGCAGCCCATCCAAAGGGTGGCTGGGCTGGGAACAGAGCCTCAGGGATTTTAGCTTTTAAATTCTGTTTATTTTTGTGCTGCTGGAAATTAGGCCTTACTGCACCAGTGGTGTCAACCACTCCACTCCTGAGCTACATCCTCCACCACTCAGAACCTTGGCTTAGGTCCAGCCCCGGCATAAGACTCTCAGCACTGCTTAGTCCTTTCCTGGGCCTTCACTTTCCATCTGTACAGTGGGGTGAGTAGGAATGACTACTTGAAATCTCCAGGGGCCTCTGCCTGTCGCTGGCCCTGCAGGCCTGTCTCACTCCATGCCTCCAAACATTCTTGCTCTCTCTCTGGAGCTCTGCCCTCTGTCACTGTCTGTCTCACTCTTTCCTTCTGTTGGCAGATGTAGGACATGATTTCCTCAATAAGCTTTCATTGCCAGCCTGGGCTGGGAGAGGGGAGCCCATCTAGCTCCCAGCAGTCTGCAGAGAAGGCGGAAGAGGAGATCACTTGTAGCAAGCCCAGGGTGCTGATGGGAAGAAGTGGTCCCTATGGTCATAGACAAGGATGGAGGGAGGCAGCCCACCCTGAGGGCCCCAGGAGGCTTCAAGGAGGCAGCATTTTTCCAGATCTTTGAAGATGAATGGGTAGATTAGGACCTGGAAATAGTGATTTCTAAGCAGGGGGAACAGCTTGGACAGATACCTGTGCGCATGCGCGCGCACACACGCACGTGTGCACACACACACACGCACATGCACGCACATGCACGCACACGCAAGAGTCAGATAAGGAAGGGCCCTGAACACCAGGGAAAGACTGAGGACTCTATCTGCAGAGCAGCTGGAAGCCATGGCTGGGTTGAGGAGGGGCCTGACAGGATCACGCGTGTGCTCTCACACTTGAGGCTGTAGTGTGGAAGAAGCCGAGCAGAGTGCATGAGAAGAGAGAGCAGGGAGGAGGCTGGTGCAAGCCCAGTCAGTTGACAAACCTTCACTCAGTCCCTCTTCTCTGCCAGGTGCTGGGTGCGGCCTGAGGGGGGAGGGGAGCGGGCTGAGGACCCACGGCAGGGGGCTCAGCGCTTAGGGGCCTCCAGGGAGTGGAGAAACGAGATCAGTGTAATGAGCTGCAGTATGTTCTGCCTGAGCCCTGGGGGCAGAGGTTGCAGCAGAAGCCCGCCTCACCTTGTTCTTATCCTGGTCCGCCTGGACAACCTGGGCTGTGCAGCCAGCGTGGCAGGGTGTGATGTACTCCACACCGGCGCCAGGGTCACAGACGGGATTAAAGCCATCCACGGAGCAGGAGCAGGGTGCCATGCAGCCCGGAAATGGCTCCACTCCGGGCTGGGTGCTGGCGAAAGACAAGGCAGGAGGGTTGGCCTGGCTCTTCTCCCCCAGGCCGGCAGCGGGGCTCGCACCCCAGAGTGTGGGCGGCGCCCAGAATCCTGAACTACTCCTGCGGTCCAGGACGGCTTCACTGCCTGGGCTGCCCTGCCGGTGGGGAAGTGTGAGCAGGGGGCAGGGCCGAGCTCCGGAGGTCCTTCGTGCAGAAGCGGGGAGTCCCGCCACAGGCTGAGTGCCCTGCCAGCCCTGAGCCCTGCACATCTCTGAGCTGCTTCTGCAAACATCACCGGGAGCAGTGGCTCTTGAGTAGGGCATCTAGGGAAATTCCTCCTGGAGCTTAGATGAAGAGGCCTTTCCTTCCAGGAGTTGGGCTACTTCCTCTTCTCAGAAAAGTTTAGACATGTATGGGGGTTCAGCCAGGGGACCTGACCAGATGTGGGATCTCCAGCCTGCTTGTGCCTCTGTGGGCCTCAGTTTTCCTGTCTGTTGGCGAGGCTAGGGTTCCTTTCTCCCTGCTGCTGCAGCTTCACAACCTCTGCCCTACCCACTATCCTGCTCACGGCATTCAGTCCTGCCTCCCTCTGGAGGGACTGCTCTCAAATCCTAGGGTGCCTTGCCTACTTGGCCAGGGCAAGATACGGGTGGATGGAGGCATGAGGTCAGAAAGAGGCTGAGTTGGAGGGGGCAGATCACCCTGGCATCAGGAAGGTGGCCCCTGGGACACAATGATGACTTGGCTTCATGCAAGGGGGAGCACAGCACAGCACACCTGCCAGGAGCAGAGACCCAGAGAGGCTGGCACAGGGTCACGGGGTGCCAGGGCTACATCACGTGGGAGGGGAATAGTAGGGGAACTCAGGCATTCTCCTCTGGTCTTGGGATGTTAGGATGGGCACTTGGCAGAACCATGGGCTGCCTGGGGGGCCTCGAAAGCTGGCATACTCTCAGCTCTGTGCACAGGAGGTTGGCAAGGGCTAGAGAAGCTGGGGGAGGGGAAGCTGCTAAGATGGCCTTAGGAAGCTTGGGGGAGGGACAGGGGCATGTGGCAGAGGTGAGCTCCTCCCTGCTTAGGGCCAGGGTCCCTTCTCCCCCTCTGAGTGGGGACAAAGATCATCAAGATCATCATCAGAACAGTTGTCCCCTCCCCCCACTGGACAATGCTCCTGGTGTGAGGCTTCCATGGGAAGGGGCACAGGCTGGCACTGACTGAGCTATGGAGCCATCAGGAATCTGTACCCGGGAGACCTGCCAGAGGAGAGGCACTTTCTAGAGCCTTCTGCCAGCAGCTGGAAGACCAAGAATATAAGAGCCAATGAGGGCTTTTCCTCATCCCCTCCTCTCTCCTTGACCACATGGAGCTGTGGGGCTTCTGATGGCTGAGGCTCTGCCCTCTGGGTGGTGACCTCACCTCTCTAAGCCTCATGATGCTTCTCTGTAAAATGGGCAGAAGGAGGCTCAAAAAGATGTAAGAGGGAAATGCTGGGCCTGGGGTTGGGCACATAGGAGTCCCTCTGTTCATTGTCTGTGTCACAAATGCAAGGTTTTTCTTGCCCCCCTCCATTGGCCCCTGAAAATTTCTTCGGAGAATTAGGACTTGGAGCTTGATAAATTAATTGCAAAAACGTGGATGAGCACAAAGATGAGCAGCCAAAGTCATGAGAGAAAGGGAGAAGAAGAGATGGGCAGCCTCATTTTTCCTATGTACTTGCAAAATTGTAAAATACCCATTTACTTTTTACTCAAAAGATCACTGAAAGACCTGCATCCTCCTCAGGCTAGGGACTTCCCAAGGCCATAGCTGTAGGTGGCCACGCTGCCTCCCAGTTCCAGAAAAGGAGAGGGGACAAGGGAGGGAGACAAGAGTGGGGAAGGTTATAAGGGGGGCCTTGGCCCTGAGCCAGGCCTGCAGCCATGCAGAAGGAGCCCCAGGTGAGGGGACGCCAAGGAGTAGGTGGAAGAGAGGAGACGGAAATTCAGCCATGTGTTAGGCCAACCTAAGCCTGGGCTCGTTTTCAAGAAAAGCAAGATTACTTTGGGGAAGAGCTGGGATGGAACTTCCAACTTCTCCAAAAGGCTCCTAAGGGGAGAGGGTCTGCTTGTTGCACAAGGGCAGGAAGGAAACATCAAGAACCTTTCTCCAGGAGGGTGTAGGCATGGCATTGCTTTAGGAACAAGGATTGAGAATTCTGGAATGTTTGGGGCACAGAACCGTAGAGCCAAGAATCTCAGACCCTCGGTCTGTGCCAACCTATTCTCTGTGGTCTCCATGAAGGGGCTGCCCAACCCTGGTTCAGCCGCTCTCCCACCCCAGGTCTCCAGGGATGGAGCTTATTTGCTTCTGGACAGGCCTAACTTCTGCCTGGGAACAAAAGCCTCTGACCGGGCTGGGTCCTGTCTGCTGTGACCTGGCTTCTGTCCCACTCAAGCCGGGCACACAGGGCTCAGGGACCTGCAGATTCCACGCACGGGGGGCTTTGTCCTGCCTTGGCCTCCAGCCCTCCACAGGCCTGAGCTCTCCTGGCCTTTAAGTTCCATCTGTGCCCCTTGTAGCTGTACCTGTTGGGTCACTGGAGCCTTCCAGAGAGAGTATCCTTTGCTTGGGAGTGAGCCAGGGGAGGGAGATACCAGGGAGCTGAGAGTGCGGCAGGGGTGCCCCTGAATAGACTTCTGCCCAGGGCCTGCCCACCCTGCCCCCTCCACTCACCCAGGCTGCAGAGTGATGCCTGCGATCTGGTGGGCTGAGCAACCAAGGAAGAAGAGAGGCAGGCTGACTACCAGTGCCAGCAGTGACCCAAGCAGGCAAAGGGTTGCACAGCGCATGGGCCCCAGGTGGAGGCGCTTGACCAGGCTGCTCCCCACCACGATGCCCACGATGGCCGTGGGGATGGTGAGCCCGCCAATGAGCATGTTGGCGAAGGAGGCTGTGACTGAGAACTGGCGCTCCAGGAACTTGGGCAGGAAGGTGGCCATGCCTGCCACCATGGATGACATGCACACCTGAGACAGGACCACCAGCAGGAAGATGGGATGGCGCAGGGTCCGCAGCAGCACCCTGGGGAAGACTGTGGGCAGGTGGAGCAGCAATCAGAGGGAGCCACAGCACCTGAGTCTGCCCACCCTGCCCTGTTCCATTCAGCTGTTCTTTCTACTCCTCCTACCTCATCCTGTTTGATTCTACTGCATCCAGTTCTAACCCACTCCATTTGACTCCTTTCCATTCAATTCTTTCACAGCTTTGAATCAGATTTATTCAAAGTGTTTATTTCTTTCTTAAAATATATTTAGTACAGGGTCTACAGGGTCTCACTACACAGATTGGACTCATAGTGATCCTCCTGTTTTCAGCCTCCCAAGCATTGGGATTAGAGGTACACACCACCATGCTTAGTCTCAATCACTGTCTCAGCATGTCCCGGGGGTGGGGCTGGCTCAGCACACTGGGGATTGAACCCTGGTCCCTGCATCTGCCTAAGCAGGCGCTTTAATCTGCTGAGTTATCTGGCCAGCCTAATGTGTTTATTTCTATTCAGTTCTGCTCACATCCATATGGTTCTGTTTCATACCTCCCTTTTGATTCTATTTCACTCATTCTCATTTAATTCTCCCCATACTAGGTCTTTTCATCATGTCCTGTAGCTTTTTTTTGCCTTACCAGGGATTGAACTTGGGATCTTGCACTTGCCAGGCAGGGACCAGAGGGAATGGACTGAGCTGTCTCTCTGGCCCATGTAGCTCTTTCTCAACCAGACCTGGGACCTCTGTTCTGTGCCCTCAAACCAGCCCTGCATCCCTACCCTGATTTCCCCTTCCTAGTTTTTTTTTCTAGAGTAATGTAGCTAACAGACAACATATTTCATTCATTTAGGTCACCCCACCTATTTTACTTTTCTTTTCTTTTGAAGCAAGGTCTTGTTCTGTATTTCAGCCAGGTCCTTAACTTTGTAGCCAGCAAGGGGGCCGGTGAGATAGCTCAGCAGTCTAAATCACCTGCTTAGGCAAGTTTGGGTGAGTATGCAGGGACTGTGGTTCCATCCCCAGCACACATGCCATACCAGCCCTGCCCCAGGGCTGAGCCAGCCACACACACACACACACACACACACACACACACACACACACACACCCCTCAGGGCCATCCTCCTGCCTCAGTCTCTGAAGTTCTGGGGATTACAGGCATACAGCACCATGCCTGGCACTCTACCTATTTTAATTTTAGAGTGAGGTTTATTAATTAATTAATTAATTTTCTGTGTTAATTGCTGACTTTTTCAAGCCTGGAACATCATAATCACTCAGTAAGTGTTTGTGGAATGAAGGAATGAATGGATGGATATATAGATTAATATATGACCAAATGTCAAAATATCTAGGGCAGAGTCTAAGGGCTCCAGAGAAGGTGTAAGCTGGGCAGACTTGGTGCTGGGAGGCTGTCCAGGGTTGAGGAGAGCTGGGACCCACAGAGTGGGTGCAGTGGAGAGATGCACCTGGGGCAGGGAAGCGCTCTGAACACAAACCTGTTACCCTGAAGGGCGCACAGGGCTGGATGAGTCCCTTCTCTCTGAGTCCCAGTTCCCACATTAGTAGGGACAGCACAGTGGATGTTCAAGGGCATGTTGAACCTTACCCCACTGTCACCAAAGGACAGCCATGCTTCTGCCTACAGTAGGTAAAGCTAAAGTGATGGGCAGCTGTGGGGGAGAGGGCAAAAGCCTTTTTTAGAAGCAGTCAACCATTTGCTAGACTGGGCCGCAGGGAGAGGAAGCCATAAGGGTCCTCTGGGCCAGTGGGCCACACCTCCTGTCTCTGCAGTGGCAGGACCAGGGCCTCTCCCATGGGAGAGGAGTTCTGTCTGTCCTTAGTGCATGTCTGAACCAGCTAATCATCTAGAACCTTGGGCTTAGCCATCCCAGGAGCTGTTTTCTTAGAAGCCAGGAAATAAAGACAAACGGTCTAGGTGGGGCAGGCAGGGGTTGGGGCTGTGGAATTCCCCCTTCTTTGTGTTCCAAGCCTGCCTCCTGTCCCTAATCCCTTGCCACATATGCCATGTATCCAGCCAGAATTTGAAATTGAATAGTGTGGTCCTGGTCCTCACTTCATGTAGCTGCTGCAGTTTCCTGCACCCCTGATTCCTCATATAAACCGGGGGATTTCAATCTAGCTTTGCCCAACTAGTATGGATGCCTTCACTGCAAGTGGGGCCCAGGGAAGGGCAGGGACATGCCAAGTTCATTCAGGGAGGCAAGGGCTCACCCAGGACTCCCGTGGGTTTGCTGACCCTTAGTCCATCCTCCTGGCCCCCTCTTCCCCCTCAACCTTGCCCTCCCTGGCAGCTTGGCTTCACAGGGCTCCTTCCTGCTGCACGAATCACTGCAGTGTACTGTGCAGCCCTCCTCCACTCTCCTTGGCATCCATGGCCTTCTCCAGGACAGATGGAAAATTCCTGGAGGGCAGGGCTATGCAATTTGCTTAGATGGTGTTACCTGAAGGGTAATTCCAGGGCTTGCTTCCAGCTCACAGGCAAGTCTTCCCATAAAACAAGGCTTTCCTCAGCCCTGCATGATGTCTCCCCATCAGGCAAACTAGGGCCTGCTGCAGTCAGCAACTATGTCTTCCTCACAAGTCAGCTCAGAGGCCAGGTTCCTTCCTCCTTAGTTTAGGGCAATGTGAGTCAAGAGCTTCTACCTCTCCCCTGGTTCATAGAGGTCAAAGCCAGGCCTTAGGTTCAGACTGGCCCTTCTGGAGCTCAGAAGAAGCCTAGATGTCCAAGCAGCTACAGGACCTGTGGTCAGCCCTGCCTTGGTCTCCTGAAGGAGCCTATAGAAACTGCAGCTATCGCTGATCTAGAACACCCACTCTAAGATTCAATTTCAGCGACTGATTCCAGCGTCTCTCTAGGCAGGAGCCAAAGCAGTGATTAATAAGCTCTTCCTGGTGCAGTGTGCAGAAGCTTCCAGCCGCTGGGGTGACCTAAGTTCATGAGGCCAACCCCTCCCTCCAGCCATGGCCCCATGGAGTCCAGGCTTTGCTTTGCTGGGGATGCTGGCACATGGGGGACTTTATTACTGATACTGAAGCATTAAGTCTTGAAAACCTCTTCCAGGAATTGGGGCCAATTCTTTCCTGTTGCAAAAGTCCTCAGTGGAAGATAAGCACCATCCTGAGCCAGAGGCAGCTCTGCTTACATCTGGGGTATGGCCACAATGAGGACAGTAGCATCGATGGTCATGGAAGTAAATGAAGCTTACAGAAGCTGGCTGTTTAAGCAGCATACGGGACTTTGTATACCTCACCCCACTTGATTCTCACAATAGATCTTGGGCATGGCACAACAAGGATCGTTGACCCAATCTTTCAGATGAGGAAGCTCAGGTTAGAAAAGTAAAGTAACGCCTCAGGATTGTACACCAGTCGATGTGGGCCAGGCCTCAGTACTATGTCTTTCGATGTGCCATTTGGTGCTTTTCAGGAGCCTAACACTCAATAAATGTTCATGGAGGTGAGCTCTGGTCCCACAGGGACTTGGGATACTGACTGAGTTCATTGTCTCTGGATCAGAGCTGCAAAACTCTTCTACGTTGCAGTCTACCTTTCCCTGTACTGAGAAAATGTACAGGGTACAATGAGGCCTACAGAAGGATGGAGATCCAGAGCTAAAACTCAGGGATCTCTTCATCTATGCTGCAGCCTGGAAACTGAACAAATATTTATTTACTGGAGGCCTCTGTTCTCAGGGTCAGTGCTGAGTAGGAGGAGAAGGGCAGAGGGCATGACCGTCAGCAGCGTACTATGTGGGGGAAGGGCTGGACAAGGACATGGCACAGATGAGAGCTGATGTAGAAGCTGGGAGGGCGAGCACCGAGAGGAGGGAGGGCAGCGGCTGTTGGCTTGGAGAGCCAGGCATGGTGGTAGGCAGCATGGCTCTTGCCCTTGACCTATAGGGACAGTGTGGTTTGAATATGCAGTGCTCCCCAAAGACTCTGGGTTGGGGGTGTGATCTCTATTGGCCTATCATGAAGATACTAATGTCATCAATGGTTTCCAGTGATTGGTTTATAGCTGAATGGGCTTAGGAAGTGGGGCCTTGATGGATGAAGCAGGTCACTGGAGCCAGGCCTTGAAAGAATACATACATCTTATCCCTGGCCTCTCAGCTTCTGTCTCTGGTCTGTCTGGCCTTCCCTCTGCCCCCTTTCCTTCCTAGCTCCCACGAGGTAAGCACTTTACTCTGCCACCCCATTCTGCCTTGTCGTATGAGCCTAGAGCATGGAATTGGGCAACTATGGGCCGAAACCTCTGAGTCATGAGCCAGAACTAGTTTTTCCTCCCTTAAGTTTTTTCTTCAGAGCAACAAAAAGCTAACACAGCGACAAGGACAAATTCAGTGGATAAGAAAAATGTTTCAGATAGGACTACATGAGCAAAGATTCACAGGAATTCACAATGCTTTGAGGGGCTTGTCATCAAGAAAGGCAGGAAAGGGCTGAGGAGATAGCTGGGTGGTCTAAGCACCTGCCTGGCAAATGCAAGGAGCCAGGTTTGATTCCTGGTAACATATGCTTTGCCAGCTCCAGAACCCTGGGCATGCTGTGCCAGCCACTGAAACTGGGCATGGTAGCACACCTGTAATCCCAGCACTGGGGAGGCTGATACAGGAAGATCACTATGAGTCTGAGCTGGGTAATAAGACCCTGTACCAAGTAAATAAATTAAAATATCTCTATCTATCTATCTATCTATCTATCTATCTATCTATCTATCTATCTACCTACCTACCTACCTACCTACCTATCTATCTATCATTAAAGAAGAAAGGTAGGCGAGGTCTGGGCCTTGTACAGCCTCCTCAGTGGTACCTCTGACCTGCCTTCTTCAACCCTGGCCTACGGCCACTTACCTTTGATGAACTGGATCACAGTGAGGTCTGCTGCCACTTGGGCTGGGTTATCTTGCTTCTTTGAGGACTCCCCAGGGCTCTGTTCAGAGGGAGAGTCCTCAACCTGGGGAGACATACACCCAGGGCAGTCAGTTGAATGCCAGAGGTGCTACTCAGAGACAGCTATGGGCTGGGTGAGAGGAGCACGGAAAAGGGATTTTGTCAGGTGGCAATGGGGACCAGCAAGTGTTACATTGGTTCTTGGCCCTAAAGGTACTGAACAGGGGGTTTTGAAAGAGGAAACAAAATTCTTATGATTAAACTTTATCATCACAATCACCAGCATCCCAGTAGTCACTAACATTACTATTCAAATCATCACTATGACCACCTCTATCATTACGATTCCTGTTACTTTAAATATCATCTTCCTTTGTATCACAAATGTTCTGAATAAGTGATCAGTTTATTCATGATGAATAACGGCACCATGTGGTATCACTGCCACCACTGACATCATCTTTACCACTTTTACCACCACTACCAACGTCACTACCATGATGGCTCTTACACCCCTATCTTTAACTATTATGTCACTCATGACAGCCATCACCTGGAGACCCACCAGGAGCAGGAACCTCCTGGGAGTGAGCTGTGCCTACAAGAGGTGGGGTGGGATGGCTCTTCACGCCAGTCGTGTTCTTCGCTGTCTGCTGGGATAGGAAGGAAGCTGGGAGAAGGTCAGAAACAGCAGCCCCTCCCTCCTCTAGGAAGTCAGGCTAAACCCTGAGGCTGCACTCGTCTCTGGGCTCTGAGCAAGAAGATGACCGAGGACGGTGGTGTGAACCCTTCAGCCAGCTAAGGACAGCCTCGCACAGCTCCCAGAGGAAGAGCTAGGGAGGAGAAGACTCGCATGTGCGGGCGCAATCAGCATGTTCTGGGTGTCAGAAAGAAGGAAGGAAATAATGAAAAGTGGTATGAAAGACCTACATATTAAAACAGAAACATGGAATCTTCTGGAACATAGAAAGATAAAACTCGTAAAGACACAGGCATAAGCAAAGCCCTGAACCCCAATTGTATAAGAAATAACACCAAAAACCAACAGATGGGATCATATGTATTAAGCGTCTGCACTGTAGAAGAAACAGATAAGACAGTGAAAAGACAACCTACAGAAGGGGTAAAATTTTTGCCAGCTAGACTTCAAACAGAAGATTAATATCTAGAATATATAAAGAACTAAAAAATGTAGGCACCTCCTAAAAAAGACTCAATCAAAAAAAAAAAAAATGAATAGCTGAAAAGAATAGACTTCCTAGAAGTTCAAATGGCCTACATGAAAAAATGTTCATTTCTTTTGAATATTAGAAAAATGCAAGTCATAGCAATAGAGAATCTACCTTAGTCTAGAAAGAACAGTTGTCATTGTGAACTCAAAAAGAGGGAAAAAAACAACTGGAAATGTTCATGAAGTTATAGGGAAAGATGAACCCTTCTACATTTTGGTTGGGAATGTAAACTAATATAATCACATGGAAATCAGTATGGAGGGCTCTTAAAAACTTGAAATTCTATCCTATCCATCTATATTTCTTCTGCATAGCTTCTTGAAAGAATTAAAGACATTGTATTACAATGATACATGTTTACAGCAGTACATCTCACCGTAAACAGTGAAATCTAGAGAAAGCATGTACGTCTGTCACGGATGAATGGACGATGAAAAGGTGGTGTCCAGACACCGCGGAGTACTCTTCTGCCCTACGGACAGACACATCTGAGTCATACGCAGGAAAACAGATGCACCGTGGAACAATAACGCAAAGGGAAAAAATAAACCAGACACAGAAGGTTACATACCAAGTAGTTTCTCTTTCATCAGGACACCAAAGTATAAATAATTTAAAGAGCAAAATTAAAGACAGATGATAGGTAACAGGGAAGTGGACGTTTTACAGATAGGAGAGGAATTTAGAGATGGAGAAAGAAGAGAGAGAGTGAGAAGGGAATGATAAAATGAACTACAAATGCAAGCAGGTGCAGGGGCCCGGAGTTTGATTCCCGGGCCTGCCATGCCGGCCCCGCCCCTGGGATGCGCTGAGACGGTGATTGAGATGGCGTGATGGCACGCGTCTATAATCCCAGCACTCGGGAGGCTGTAAACAGGAGAATCACTATGAGTTTGATCTAGTAGTGAGACCCTTAACGCCCTGTAGACCCTTCCCTAAAATAATACAGAAGAAAGAAAGAAAGAAAGAAAGAAAGAAAGAAAAAAAGAAAGAAAGAGAAAGAAAAAAGAAAGAAAGAACGAACTACAGGACTAGTGAGCTAGCTTAGTGGACTAAGCACCTGATTTGGCAAGCGCAGGGACCAGGGTTTGATCCCTGGCCCTGCATGTCATGCCAGTGCTGCCCTGGGGTGTTCTAAGGAGGCAACCGAGTTTGGGTGCGGTGGCACGTGCTGTAGTCCCAGCACTGGGGAGGTTGAAAACAGGAGGATCACTGAGTCTGAGCCATGTAGTGAGACCCTGTACTAAATACATTAAAAAAAAAAAAAGAACTACAATGTGCTATTGTGTATGTACCAACTTCTCACAATAAATGTCTGTATGACCTATCACAAGTGTGCACTAAGAAAGAAGAGATTGCTTGATGCCTGCTAAGCACTCTCTCCTTGGACTTTCATACTGTTCAAACGACTAACACAGAAATCATGGTTTTCTTGTTCACATTACAAAATGGAGACATGGAAGTGAAGTAACTTAACTTCAATACACAACAGCCAAGCAGCACAGCTATGCCTGAGCCCAGTGTTTGCCTGGAAGGCAGCCATGAGGACAACGCATGCCAGGACCGTGCTACCTACAGTCCTCTACATGAAACGCTGGGGAGCAGGGCCTGTCCCATGCATACTTTTTAGAGGAGGAAGTTAGGCTTACGGAAGTTGTTACTGATGCAGGGCCCTTGGAGTATGAGTGATGGAGTGGGGTCTGATTTCATTACTCTGTGGTTGTGTGTGTGTGTGTGTGTGTGTGTGTGTGTGTATTTTCCAGTACTAGAGATTAGACCCAGGGCTCTACCACTGGGCTATATTCCTAACTTTGTTTTCATTATGTTTTTTATGCACCCTGAGGTCAGAATTAGCAGCAACAAATTCTGTGGAAGAAGATGTAACCCCGAGTAAAGAGCTGACTAGAGCCAGCTGCTTTGGGAGGGAGTCAGCTGCCCACAGCTGGAAGCCGGTGCAGTATGGTGGACAACATCCACTGGCCTGGGGAGCCTCCGTGAGCTCTCCTGGCTCCACCTTTTGTCTGCCTATGTTGTCACTTTGAGGTCCTGTAGTCCCTACGCTGTCAGGGTCTGACACTTTTTGCTCCTCACATATCATTTCTGTCAGGAGCCTCATGAGGCAAATGCTGGGTTTTCTCATATTTTGGAAACTCCCTAGCCTCCTCTGGGGGATCTCTGTTCCAGATCTTCTGCCTCCCTGTCTGTCCCAGCAAGTTCATTCAAATATTCATTCTTGGGGGCAGGGAGATGGCTTGGTAGAATAAGCACTTCCCTGGCAAGCGCAAGGGCCTGCATTCAATCCCTGGCCCACCAAAAAAAAAAAAAAAAAAAAATTCTTACATGTTTCCCTCTCTTGGACCTTTCCCTTTCCATTTCTCTGTCTCTCTATCTCTGTACTTCTCTCTGTCTCTGTCTCTCTGTTTGTCTGTCTGCCTGTCTTTCTGTCTCTGTCTCCCTGTCTCTGTCTCTCTGCTTCTCTGCTTCTCTCTGTCTCTCTCTGTCTCTGTCTCTGTCTCTGACTCCGTGTCCCCCCCCCCGCCCCCCAGTTACATCAGGGATGGAGCTCTGGATCTCCTGGCCTCCAGGGAGGTTTGTGGCTGGGCGGAAAGTGCTAATTCTTTGCAAGGTTTCTTTCCAGCTTCTATTTCCAAAGCTTGAGTCCACCAAGAGAATTCTCTGGGGTGTTTCAGGATGGAGGAAAGAGGGTGAGGGGAAGAGAACGTTCTCCTTACAACTGAAACTTGAAAAGGAAGAGGAGGAGGAGAAGGCAGGCGTTAAGCAGCCTATGGGTTGCATAGCAGTGGGGAGTCATGTGCTTTTTGCCATAGGGTGCGTGGACACAGGCCACTTGTATCGGGCAGGCTCTAGGCCCAGCTAAGAGCTGGGGGCCTCATGTTCCCAGCTACACCAAGATCTCTTTGCTCCAAGTATGCTGAGGGACACCACATGGCCAGGATGACAGGTGCACATTGCCATAGAGTCTAGAGATGGTTGCTGCTGGTGACATCTGGCTGGGGGTGAGGCCACCCTGGCACCTGGGCACTAGGTAAGACCCCAGGGCCTTTGCTCCTCCACCTTGGTAAGAAAGACGGAAGTTGAGCTCCTGGATGATCTGACTGAATGGGCATTCAGAGTAGGAATTAAATTGATTTTTAGAGAAAATAAAGAACTTGCATACATTTAAGTCTGAGTCAAACCTTATACCACATCTGTCTTCCCTGCTGCACCCTGAGTCCGCAAGAGCAGGAATTCTACTTACATATCTTGTTCTCTATTGAAACCCCAGTGCTTAACTCAGAGCCTGGGGCAAAATCGCAGGTATCAGATAAATACATATTAGACAGGGAGACGTGGCTCTGAACTAGGGTGGCTGTAGTCAGTGCCAGGCTCTTGGAAGAAAAGTAAGAGCCGCAAGAGGAGATGCTACCACGCTGAAGGGGGCTCCCAGGCCGAGTGCTTAGAGATCGGCAATGCTCACAGAGCCGCCCAGGGAGCTGGCAGAAGGGAGATTCCTCAGGACCTCCCCAGGCCGTGAGCGCTCGACCCAGGCTACACGTACGCCTTAGTGCATTAGGAAGGAGCCATATGTTTTTCACTGGTGAGTAAACAAGTTCCAAGGTAGGCAGCTTCTCCAAATCACATACCTAGAACGTGGCAGAGCGAAGATCTGAGCTCAAGCTTGTCCCAGCAGAAAAACCGTGCTTTACCCATTACGCCCTGTGGGCCAGGAGCGCAGGCGCAGAACAGAATTCAGAGGCCTGAAATCGCACCAGCTATCCTCGGGTGAGGCAGCTGGATCTGTTACTCATTTATACAGTGGGGCCACACTACC